TTGCTATAACTATATCGATATATGCGATATGGTCTAATTCCATATCACATTTAAAAATATATCGATATATTTTTATATCGATATATCGCCCAGCCCTAGGTCAGAGTTTGTAATCCAGGAAACAACATGGGGGTCTACTTGCATCTGCAGCATCTTATACGCAAGTAGTGAGGGCTGAAAATGGAAATACTCACGTAAAGCTACAGTAAAGACAACAACAACAATAACAATCCCTTATTTTATTCTCTTTTTATTGTAATACCTTCTTGTGTTTTTATATTTCTCTGTCATGTAAAGTGTGCTACATGGACTTTACTACAGTACTTGTGTGCTTTGTTATATTGCATGAGACAGTTATATTGCAAGACAAATATTCAAATCAGTGAGATGAAAAATGAATTGTGATATCAATTGTGGTATCGAGACTTCTGTTTCCCCTTTTACAAAGAAAAGGAAATATGAAATAAAATAGAGATTCTATAATTTGATTTTTTTTTAAATAAGAAAAAATATATTTTATAGATTTTTATCTAATAAGGGAATCTTATTATCTAATGCCAGGATAGCTCACCTAGTAGAGGTGGCACCCCACATACCAAGGCAGCTGCCATGGGCTCAACCCTGACCTGTGGCCCCCTGCTGTGTGTCACTCACCCCCACTCCTGTCACTCTTCAGCTGTCACTATCAATTAAAGACAATAAAATGGTGAGAAAATCTTATTGTGAACCCTATATCGTATTGTACTGTATTGTATCGTGAGTTCAGAGTATCTCACATGCAAAAACACACCACCATATGCAGAACATTTGAGTAAAAAAAGCCCTCATTTAACGTTTTTACAACACTGCTAACGTTGGGGTTTTAAAAATCACTGGTGTTTTTGAGAATTGAAATAATATCACATAAGAAAATACTACAATAATATATTTTCTTACACCTCTGTAAACCATGCTCCACAGCTGGGGTCCCTGTGTCCCACAGTAATAGTCAGGCTATCTGAAAAAAGTTTTTACATGTAAAAAATTCAGGAAAGTCGTGAAATATCATGCAGATAAAACAATAAGTGTGTGTTTTAGCTGTTAAAAAAGGGCTTAAACCTGCACATAACTCCTCTCTCTACCTTTCCCTTCCACCTACAGCACAAACCGTTGTTTTATCACCTGCTGCAGTCAACGTTGCTCAATGGAGCTCTGTGATTGGTCGACGGGCGACTTTCAAACTCCTCCCCCCACTGCCACAGCAACTCGGCGTCAGCAGCCAACCAGCTCAGCTCACACAACGGCAAGTTTTACGGGTAAATCAAACAAAGGTTAGTAAAATAACCTCCTTTTTTTCAACCGTAAATCCCACAAGCATCGGCACAGTGTAACACCTCTCTTGTTGTTGTCGGCCAAAGGCTCAGGAAAAGCCCGAAAATGAGTCAGTTCAAGGAGCGCTTTGTGACTCTGCTGCATGAGAAGAACTTTGTGACAGATCAGTTGGCGAAGCTGGAAGAAAAAACGGGAGTGAAGAGAGAATATATCACCTTGGGTATGTATGAAGAATTTAATTTCCTTTTTTTTTTAAAACGCTGGAGAGATAATAAAATAACTCGTTTAACGTCTCCACCAAAAAGCTGTCTGCATTCTCCGTGTTTAGCTGGTAAGGTTGCCACCCAACCTGGCAACCCGGTTGTGGTCACACTGTTGCATGAGTTACGTGGGCTTTCAGTGTGGTTTCATATCCTGTGCCGCTGTCTAAACTGTGTTTCACTTTATTACCCTTCACAAGCCCGAATACCAAAGTTCATCCAGCTCAGACCCTTATGCTGCAATACAAGATTAGAGTTGGTGTATCACCCTTTTACACACACACACACACACCTATTTCAAAATACTGCTGTTGTAAATGAACTGCTTCTAATATCTCAGGGCAAGCAACAGCTGGCCCCTGGGGTGGGGGGTGTATTTTTATCACATCCTGAAATATCCATAGCAAGGCAGATATGGGAAGAGATTCTAGGATGACAACTGCATGCTGCTCTCAGTTATCTTATAGATGCTGTGTTTGTGTGTGTGTGTGTGTGTGTGTGTGTGTGTTTTTACACTGCTCTGTTTGTCTGTTTGCACAGTGGATGTCAATAAAAGCCAAACACCTCCGGCTATGTAGGTAACATTTTGTCTAGGATGCCACTCACACTACAGGAAACACGTTAGGTGACCTACATTCAAACCCACTGTCTTTGCTCAAAATTGATCCACACAAATGGGAGTTCGCAACGTAACATCGGTTTGCCTTTAATCTGCCGATTTCAAGGTCACAGAGGATGGGATTTGTAATTGAATATCTGTGGATGTTGAGTGCTGTATTAGAAAATCTTTGTGTTCAGCTGCACTATATCAGACAGCCTGTTTGCAAAAAGCCCAGAGGGTATGTTCAACTGAGGTTTACAGCATCAAATATAGAGAGCGGTGCAAACATTATACCCCGACCGATGTTGGATTTTGGAGGCTGATATTTGAAAGTTAAGAAAATGTGATCACAATGTATCAGCAGATATTTATTTTTTAACATAGTAGATAATTTACAAACACAAAACATTTTTGTAAGGATACTTGTAATGTACACAATATGCAGTACGCTGCAAAAGCTGAAGAAGCTTTAAAGCTGAAAAATAAACATATGTTGTCTCAGGTAACAAAGTACATAATGGGAACACCCTGTCAAAACCAGAGCTTAAAAGATCAGTGGATTAATCCACAAGTGTTTACAGCAAATTGCCTAGCAACAGTTTTGATAAGGCATAATCATTCGAGTAATGTTTTAAACCAAGATTAGCTGCTTTTCTTTTCTTTCTCCCCCCCTCTGGTTTTAAATTGAGTACCTTTGGGGTTTGGACTGTTGGTTGGACAAATGAAGATATTTGAAAATGTCAGCATGGACTCTGGGAAACCATGATGGACACTTTTAGCTATTTTCTGATATTTAACAAAACAAAACAAGATCAATAAAAAAGGTTTTGGCATTTATGTGCTGCAGTTTCTTGTTGTGCATAGGCTGACACATATGATACTGATGTATCTGTGATGAGCTGATATGACACGTACCCACATTGCCCTCTAAAGATTAATAAAATGATAAAAAAAACAGTTTGGGTATGCTGGTATGCAGTTGGTGTCAGTTAAAGTCAGACCTGCATTAAAACAGTTGTGTTTTTGTTCCACACAAACCACCAGACTAGCCTGCAAAACAAATACTGAGGATATGTATGCAAATACAATCCCACAGTACATTTGATTCATCTCTACTCTGCATTTAGCAGAAGGTAGAAGCAGACAGAGCAGCCAAACTGTACCACGGCCTGTCCTGTTTGCAGAACTGGGCTGTTAGTTTCTTGTTACATGTAGCTTGTTAGTGAGACAACAGCCATTCATTTCATACTTTGGCCACATTGCATACTTGTTGCAAACATGTACACTAATAATCGGTTCCAGACAAGAAATTCTTGGCTCACTATGATGTTGTGTTGTACTTTGCCTTGATCCGGCCATGTCAGTCCGACAGAGTTACAAAGTACTGTCTGCTGTTTAGCTGAGAAACGTTCACGCTAACTCTTGTGAGTGCCGACTGGAGCAGACAGGTCTCATCTCTGCTGTGTGTGCAGCCAAACTCACTGAGCGAGCGACTGTTGGTTGTTTGTTCGTGTTTTTAAAGTCAACTTCAACCACTCACCCCTCATATCAATTGTGGTTTGTGATGATTGGATGCTAAGAGGAACTGTTTTTTCAGCCAAAATGCAACTACTGGCCTGCAGCTCTAATAAGTAGTTTGACTCATACATTACAGGATTACACAACTGTGTAATTTTTTCAGTTTCTCCACGAATAGGACATGTGTTTTCATTTAAGGCTGTGAAGTCTAT